TCCTGTTAAACCCAGAGGAGGACATCTGCTCAGGATTCACTGTTTTTGTTTCCTTTGCAGTCTGTTACAGTAAGAAATTTTATGATTAACAGAGAGACCTTCACAAGCACATTCCCCTCCCCAGTCCTTTCCCAGGAGCATTATTAAATAAAACCAAAAAAGCAAACCAAAAGACGACGACCCTCAAAAAGATCTTCTCAACAGGCTTTGCTGACAAAAGGCACAACAAGAACTGAACTTGTCAATACTTGTAACTCTTAAGACCCAACAGAAAGTACTATTACAGACTTAAACCACAGCCACCACTGAAATGCAGCCTGTCACCTTGGCTGGAAAGTTGCAGCTTGCCAAAGGCATTCACACAGCAAACAATACTGCTAAGCTCAGAACAGGAATTCCTGGCAGCTGATGCCTCCGCAGGCGGAAGTGATTCTGGTTCAAATACTTCCTTGACCACTGATAACATGCTCCTACCACTTGCAACGCCAGGGCTTAACAGATAAGGAGGAGAGCATCTCCCACACACAGTAATCCAGTCCTATTCTGACATATATTCTTTTCTTGGGTTTTATCTTTAGAATGCGGCTACATAAACACAAACACGCATACACAGAGCCCTTGCTATTTGAAGGGGGAAATTGGTGTCAAATACAAGACTACTGAAGCAATATGAATGTGCGTTACAGCACCTTTTTCTCCTCTACTGCTGGGTTTCTGAGGGAGCAAACAATATTATCTGGAAACCACCGAGTTGGTCAGGTGTTTATATTCCATTATTAAAACTCAATCAACCGAAGAAAATTTCTTAATTTTTTTCAAGAGAAGAACAGAATCTTTATTTCTAGCAAGAACAGACTTACAATATACTTAAACACTATTTCTCTTGTTTATTAATGTCACAGTGCACTAACATAAATAGCATTACGTTTTCCCAATTTAAGTGGGGAATCATTCTGCTTTGCCTATCACTTAGTGATATGGAAGTTTTGTTAAAATAGTTCCACGCATATATATAAACAAGCCTTAAAACTTACTAAAAGCCAGTGAGACTATGTGATACAACTGCAGGCTCCAGTTACCTGTGAATGACTTAGCTTGAACATAGCTAAATCACAGAGCCTGGACCATGCAATAAAATTAGCCTGGGCTCAGGACCATGCTCATGCGTTGACAACCAGTGTCCAGAAGATGCTGCATTGCTCAGTGTGTACACATCAAGTCTTTTGGTGTTAGTTCAGCTAGCTGCACTGCAATGTATGGTGCAGGAACATGCCTAGCTCCTAAGAATTAAGCTTTTAAAGCTAGCACACCATGAAATCACGCTTAAATTCAACAAGCTGCCTTTGAAAGTGATGCTAAGCACACTCTCTGAAGTTCCACTGGTACGATTAAGGGACTTCTGTGGCTAAACATATGGTTAGTTCTTTTGCCTAAATGCATTAAACGTTAACAGAAGACCTGGGAGAGACACCAAGGACTTCTGACTCCCTACTTGGTGCTTAACTGAACTTTAAGATGCCCTGTATAGCAATAAAGCAATATTTGCTTTGTATATTGATAAATTGAATTTTGATGCTTTAGAGACAGCAGAGGCATCACAGATCGACATTAGCCAAGAACTGTGGAAAGGGAGCAGAGCTAAGGAGAGAAGGAAGCCAGCAGAACCTACCTAACCGATGCTGAGTAATCTAGCTAAGACAATCTAGTCTGAGACGCAGGCCACAAAGGCTGAACCACAGTTCTGTTCCTGCTAATCAAAACTCAGAAACATTTACCCAACATTAGACTAAAATAAATGTATCACGCAGAACCTGGCCTTTCATTGTAGAATTAAAAATGCAATGAGGTACACTTGAGAAATAAATGCAATAATAAATGTAATTAATTTCCACAAAATACCAGTGAATTGCTGGCACTGTTGAGATCCATAATGCACGCCCTATTACTACAGCATTGACATCAACTACCCTTGCCATTAACATAGCTTTTGCCTGGTAAACCAATAATTTCCTACTCAGGCAACATTTGTCTTGCTGGCCAGACAGGGATAAAGTAGAAGTACATTGCTGTTGAAAGCAGCACACCAAAATATCTCCGGAAGAGAAACGCATGCCAAAAGGCACCTAGCTTTGTTAGCACAGTGCTAGGTTAAGAAGAGGATAAATGCAGTTTTATACATCTCAGAAAGTTAATTTAAAACAATCTCATAAGGTGAAATGCCAAGATATTAATACCCATTGCACTATGAGACCACATTATAAGTGACGTAAACATTACAAAACAATGTGAAAGTTGGCCAAGCTGTTAATAGACAGCATTACACAATTACTGACAGAGCCAGATAATACTGCATTTCTACTATGCAAATTTTTAACAGTGAATAGATTTTGAAAGGAGTTTACACCCACTACCCCCACAGATGCAAGTCAGTAATTCGCTATTAGGTGCCAAGCTGTCATTCACATGTAAGTCATTTCAGCCTACTGCTATTCTCTAGTCTACTTTACTTTGCTACCACAAAGGAGCCACCAATGAATGCCACTTGATTAAAACGTATAAACCCTATATGGGCCTATTTTTCAGTCTGTAAGCTAATAGTGCTATTGTAGTAATAGCTTTCATTTGTTTTGCCATTGATATTGGTCTTCTGCTACTAAGGAAATACTGTACTGCCCTAGCCTTTCGGATGTAGGGACCAAAGCCCCCACATTACAAAGTCATTACACATTGGGAAGCTATTAGAAGTCTTGCTTAGAAGAAGGAAGGAACAAGAGCTGGTATTTAGGGCCTAATTCACCGTATTTAAGCGCATGCTTTACTTTAGGTACACAATCAGCTAAGTGTGTACTTGGCTGAGCAAGGCAGTGGTTCTGTGCACATTTCTTCAGAGGTAGCAGCGGTCTAAATAGAGAAGTGACCTTCTCCGCCAACACAAACACATAGCATACTTCATCATAGCGCCTCTTACGTTGCTGTTGTCCACCGTTCTCCTCCCTGCCTCACAACACATACGTCGTGACACAAAACAGCTCAGGGACCTGATGTGGCTGAACAGTCAACATTGCTCTTCCTTCCTGTGCTATCCTTCCCCGGGGAATTTCCCAGCTAGATCACTGCCCGGAATACAGCAGTTGAGGTTCTGCTTGTGCCGGGGGGGGGCAGCACAGAGAGCAACTGAGCAGAATCATGGAAAACTGTAGATGCCAGCAATGACACTATAAAAATTAGAGCTAGACTGCACCAGCTCTTGCTTCTGAAGACTTCCCAACAGAACATGTCTCAGGTTTGTTAGCAGAACAGCACCAAGACAACCTGCAAAGAATCTATTACCTGGTTTTACTTCTGTAATTGCTTTCTTCCTCTCAGGAACACAGAAATCTCAGCGTATCAACCATGTAACTATACCCGCTGTCCTTAAAGTATGTGAATAAGTGCTTAACCCACAAAAAGAATTCCATGACTTGTCCTCAAAATGTTTTAAGCACTAATCACATGCAAAAGTTATAATCTGTGTAGCACGCACATTATGCTGGAGGTCTGCTAGTGCACTGTGTGCCTCTATTATCTCTGAAGGATGGAAGAGAGCAGAAAAATCAAAGGATCGCACAATGCAAAAACATCTATATGTATAAAGAGACCTGTTCAGCACCTACTCCAACACAAAACCTCTCTCTGAAATGACTTACAGATTAATGGTGCCAATTCAAAAAATTACCAGAAGACAAAAGATAGCAATGTAGATTAGTCACACTATTCCTGTTCACAGAAACTGAAAATAGAGAAACATATTTTGCTTCAGAAATATGAGGACTGCTCCAGTTCAAATCAGCAGCCCATCTTCCAGAAACTTCAGCAAGAACCGAGCTCTTTGCACTGGTTTCTTCTTAAACCTATTATTTTGTCCAACTTGCTGTGCCTTTGTACATGTGTGTGCACGTGCGTGTATGTATGTGTCTGCGGACACCTACACGTACATATAGCGCTCAGTAGAATGGACCTACTTAAAGCCACTAAGTGTGAGTAGTAGTAGAAATTAATCCTTAATTTTTCTTTACTGTTTCTTTTATTCATATTCTGCAGCAGAGATACTCCATATTGTCTCTCCAGTCAATGGTGCTGGACTGCCACAGGGATGAATTCGGTTTCAAATAGGACCCAAAGTCTAGAGCACATCTTCTCAGTAGGAATTTTCCAGAGATGGAAAAAAAGGATGCATGATTCTGGTTTGTATAACTGTCAAGTACAGAAACATAAAAGGCTGTAAATAATTCACTCTGTATTACAGGAAATGTTTTACAAGTGAAAAGGTTGTAGCCTCTTTTGGGCTAACTGGCTGGCAGATGCTGGAGGCATTTCTGATTCTGAAAGTGCAGAACAAGATGTGCCCCCTTTATAAGCCCTCTCTATAGCAGTGGTTCTTGGTTCTCAACTCCCCCCCGCTACTGCTCAGTGAAAAATGCTTCAGCTTATAGTTCTGATGGATGGATCACAAAGCCTGCACGCTTTTAGAAAAGCAACTCAGACTGACTAGCAATTTCTTGTTGTATTCTGATGACCCAGCGGCTGCAATACACAGTGCACAGCTGATAACATGAAGAGAACGGATAAATTTGAATTAACATTCTATATTTACATAAATACACACACACAGTTATTTAAAGATACACACATGCACACACACACAAGCTAAAAACATACATGCAGTTATCACAGACAACTCAATGATGACTGTTTGATGCAGTCTTATAACAGTGACATCATCATATCCAGTGGAAATAAAATCCACTTCCAGTCTCAAAAGGGTGGCCACATAACTGAGGACAGATTCCGGCCTAGGACATCAAAGCAATTCAAATAAAGAGATCCTATTGCTTTAACTTCCTGTTATTAAACATTTTGCAAGAAACCTTTGTCAAGCTCCCTCCACTGTTTCCCCCACATTAGTTGGTAGCCAGACAAACACAACGTTGTTTTGTACGTAAAAGAAATCTGAAACTCACCTGTATGTTGCCAAAGTCCACATTCTCATAATGGAAATGTGCACACTCAGCCATCTTCGGGAAATGACCCTTTGTAAAGGATAACCTGAAGCACATTAAAAGCACACCATAAGATGCAGATCTCTTAAACAATGCTCAGCATCAAGTACTGTTACAAAATGCAGCTAAATAACATGGGCTTTCTCACCCTAAAGCCGAGGGAGCAGAAGGGTTTGCTGATACAATGCACCAAAACAGTGGAGAAAGGCATTCGGTGAAGAAGGAGAACTAAATTGCAAAGTGGCTTTTATCATTGCATCCTTAAGGAATTGTGTGACATTTCATCACCACCAAGGCCCATGCCTCTAAGGAATGGTGCAGGGACAAGCCGCTCTACCTTTACAAATGCATTTTTGCAGTGCAAATTAACAGCCTTACACGAGACACATAGGAAAGTAGAACTTTACCTGTGAAAGGCATCACAGCCCATCAGTCCCGGGTTGATGTATCTGAGGGTGCAGAACAAACGCTATTTATCCTTTGCCTTTTTAAAATTCAGAAGTGAGGCAAAATTATTCCCAAGTGTCTCCAGCTACAATGATGGCTGACGGGGAGATCCTCTGGCTCTGCAACATGCTCTCTCGCTTCTGCTGAAGCTATTATAGACTCCTATAGATATTTCTGGTGGTGAGCCAATGAGATTATCGTTATCTAGCTCTCTCTTCCCACGGGAGTATAAGTGGGAAGTGAGATACAGCATCTGGCTGCTCAGCACTACAACAAAGAGCCATTTCCCTTACAGTATCAGAATGCTACAGAGAGGTGATCTGAATGCACAGATCAGTACTGGGCAGCTCTAGTCCTCAAGTCTGCATTGTTAGCAAAGACAAATCAAGTAATTTTGATTACTTTTGAACTCATTAGCAGGTTAGGGGTTTGAAACCTTTACTACTAGCACAGTAGGTTGATTTACATTCTGTGGGAGAGCGTGCAAGAGAGAGCAAAAGAACATAAGCCCACAGGAGAAAAAAAATTAGGATATGAGAGAAGAAAAAACGCCCCTGAAAAAGAAAAACTGTGCAAAACTCATTCAATGAACAGGTACAGGGAAGAGGCAAAAAAGGAACAGAGAAAAAATATCAAATAAAAAATATATGTAGGCCACCCACTTGTCCTTGTTTAGCTTTCCTCAGTATGGGGAGATGGAGAAAATAATCCAATTTATATGTTGCCTGAGCTTCTCTTTAATTATATATATTTTTATGTGAAACCATTCTAGGGGGAAATCACAGAAGTTTAAAAATGCAGCAACAGAGAGGTTCAAAACTCAAACAAGCTTTGCTTCTATAGCAGGAACAGGGTAAGGGAGCTAACAAAATGTCTCCTGTTCCCAGTTTTGGATGATGTTAGCATATCACATATTGTTTTGAATGGATTTCTAGCTCTGACAAAGATACTATCAAAAACTATTGCAGAATGCACTAGCTGTAATGTAGCACAATAGCTAAAATCCAGGATATAAGAACTAGAAGCCCAGCAAAGATAGGAAAACCAAACAACATTGTTCTTACTTTTTCACATTCTTCACTTTCATACTTGCTGTGCTGCCACAAGTCCGAAGTGGCAACTCCCCTGGAATGTCAGGGATATCTGCACCTCTTGCCTGCAACAAAAAAGGAAAGCAAGGAACTTAAAATCTGATTGTATGACATAGGCTACTGCCTCCCATGCAACAGCCTATATTTTTGTGTGCGTGTGTGTCTGTGTCTGTGTGCGTGCGCACGCATGCATGTGTACATGTGTGTGTACACAGACACAGAGCTCAAATTTCACATGTACTTCCAAGTTGTACTTCAGCCTTTTTAACTAGTAAAACTGAACCTTAGGATTATGACCTAATATGTGATTATCTCTTCTTAAACCACGTTGTAGAGCCCTGCTAATTCTTAGTAATCACTAGGAGATCCAATATCTTATTCATTACTCCTTTTTGCTTATAAAGAAGAGATTTCCAGAGGCAGGAGTCTAACATGCATTTCTAAACTCCATATTTAGACTCCTTGTGAAGTACCTGATTTTCAAAACAGCTGTGCACACAGATTCAGGCAGAGGCACTGGAAGAAGTTGGGTAGTCAATATGGTGGAAAATCACTCCAATGACACAGCTGCTTTCATGTGGGAGGCAAGGTTTTAAAAAGTATATTTGAGATTATCGGTATAAGTGCATGAGCACATTAAAATTTCTGAATCACTAAAATCACAGAATCACAGAATCGTTGAGGTTGGAAGGGACCTCTGGAGATCATCTCGTCCAACCTCCCTGCTCAAGCAGGGTCACCTAGAGCATATTGCCCAGGATCACATCCAGACGGGTTTTGAACATCTCCAGCGAAGGAGACTCCACGACCTCTCTGGGCAACCTCTTCCAATAGCTCAGTCACCCTCACAGTGAAGAAGTTTTTTCTCAGGTTCAGATGGAACTTCCTGTGGTTCAGGGAACTTCCTGTGGTTCAGAATTAGATCCAGGAGAAAAGATAATGCCAAATAAACGTCACATACATGGAGCATGGAAAGGGTGAGTTCCAAACACATGATGTAGCTTAACATTCTTCACCTTCTGTACCAAAGAACTCAGTATTTCCCATTTTATCACCTAACGGCATGCTCTTCCTCCAAAGTGTAAAAAGCTTACAGCATGTGTAATGACAGCATTTATTTTTTTTACGGTTTTTTTGCTTCTCTCAGGAAGATAAGAACACACTGCCCCTGCATCAATTTAGTCCTCTTCTGTTCACCTCACTAAAAAAGAAAAAAAAAAAACCCTCTCACAATAATTTCATTCTCTCACCCCTCTCATAATAATTTAACAAAAAACTACTGATATCTTGCTACATGACTTTTGTTGGATGCATTTTTGTATCTTATGCTGAAGGAGTCCAGAACTTCTTCAGTATGCATATGCAAACACTCAGTTGTAAATGGGGATGCTTTTTTTTAATGATTTGCCAAATTTACATGGTTTCCAATACCACAAAAAAGTGTGTGTCACACTTTAGATGGAGCAAAAGGTACATATATGCAGGATTTCTGTTTAATTTACATTTCAGCAAGATCCAGCTGTATGGTACTTCAGTGCAGAGACATTCCCCCCTGGGGCAGAATTTTATCTTACGTGCTAAAGCTTTGATCCTTTGAAATATCTCAGACTCGGAATCATTTAAGCCACATATCTGGTATTCAGTAACTTCTCTGTGAGGATGCGCGCAAGTTTAGCGATGAACACAGGAAACAGAGCCAGAATACTCATTTTGTTTTTTGCAGTATCTGTCAGCACAGCTGTCTGCTTGTGTTTTGATGACAGAAACATGAGGTTTCAGAAAACCTCTGGATTTCTATGTAGTCATTTAGTTTAACAAGGCCAGAAGTCCAAGCTCTCTTTTTTAGTTTGTTCTGTTTTACTTTCCCATCCTCCCCCTCCTCCAGCTGCTTTTTCAGAAGTCATGAGCTCTGCTCAGGTTGGCATTCACCATCTCAAGAGGACTCAAATACTGAGTATCACACACTGGCAGTCCTGTGCCAGGCCCAAAGCTCTAGAGGAAGGGGGGGGTCTAAGGTGAGGTTGTTATGAAGGGAGTCGTGACAAACCAAGAAACTCAGCACAGGCTTCATGAAGTAGAAAGAGAAAAACATGAGCCTTGATCTTGGCCAGGAATATCTCAATAGTGAGCTGGATGAGACCAGCTGAATGAGCACAGGACAGAGTAGTTTTTTTTCTGTTTTATACAATGCACTACAGAACACGGATCACGTCCAAAACAATGAGTGCTCAAACAAGAGGAAGAGAGGCACTTCAGTATTCCCTCTTTTACAGTCCAGTAACAAAAAAGTATTAAATTAAATTAATTTGCTAACGACAGAAGTAACTACACCACTTCTCTGATCCAGATTGATTTTGATGTTTCTACATTAGGCCACCAAAAGTTCTCTGAACTGAGAGGAACAGTTCCCAAGAGCTGTTATGTATAAAAGAATACTATTGCATACTGCTATTCAAAGTATGGAAACAACGTGGTCCTTGCCCCCAAAACTTTATGGCCAGACAGTTACAACTCAATCTAAAAGCCCACTTGGCAGCTTCTGCAAATTTCAGTACTCTACTCCTGTGTCCGAGGCATTCAGCACTGAAATATACTGGTGCTGAAATTCAGTATCAAAACAACAGCTCTCCATGATAACATTGGAAGCGTCTTAACAAATGGGGCAGTAGGTCTATGCTGTACAGCTCTCTCCAGCTGTAGCCGATACTTGTAGCTTCAAATAAAAGCAGAAAGCTTCCTAGGGTAGCTTGTTAACGCCACAGTATCACATACTGGATGAACAATGGAAGAGTATTTCTTACCCCCTTCCCTGAAACTCTCATTTTTGCTTGACATGGATCAAATTTACACCTGCTTCACCACAGCATAAAAAGCCAAAGAAAATAAGTCAAAACCATTCACCGTTCCTTTACTCATTAACTAACAGCAATGGGGTTAGAGGGAGTGATTCATCTCATTTAACTTCAGACATGTACAGTGTGCATAGCTGAGGTGCTACCCCAGGCTACTTTTATAGTCACAGAGAGAAACAGGCACTTCGGGGCAGGTTCACCTACTTCAGACAACAAAGTGAGGATAAAAGTAACCGTGCTGCAGGAGTATTTGTTTCTCCCTTGATATAGGGAACCTAGGATGACCCAGGCTCAGATGCAGACATCTGCACTCACTCAAAGGCATCCCAACCAACATCGCTACGGGTTTCTATAGGACTTGAGTAGACTACAAGTTCTCTGCACAGGGACAAATTCCTGTTCAGCTATTTCAAGCACTGCCCTTGGAAAGGGATGTTGCAGCAAATATGAATGAGGCGCTCTCTCCTTTCAATATTATCAATTACACTGGAAGCAAGGACGCTCACTCTCACAGCCTGTCACAGCCTTGAACATATGCAACGTTTTAACTCAGAGAGTTAACACTGTCCCACAGACATACAGAGTATGGACACCTACTTGCTGAAGAAAATATGGACAATATTTACATCCCTAAATAAACCCATCTTTGGCTGACTGACTGGTATTAAGCATACAATTACTTAGTATGTAGTAAGATACTTGAGCATCTCACTGTGAATTAAGAGGATCACCGATTTAATAAACACTGTAGGTCTTCTATATAAGAAAATAACTAATTACCATAAAAATTTGTCATTTCTGTAAGTAGCTTTTAGGCAAATCTGGATGTGCCAGCTTTAATTTTCCAAGGAACAGAATTTTTGTAGGAAGAAAAATAATTTTTCATCTTCATGAGCAGTAGAAGCCGGTGGGATATAAAAATGGGTAAACAAGACTGACAAGACTGACGGAAAAAGTGGGGCTTCAGGCCAATTTGCAGCAGTGGGTAGAGACTATCCTTGATCTGACTCAAAGCAGCGTAGGCAAAACCCACACCTCCAAGAGGCTTAAATGCCAGCATCTCTCCCTGAAGAAGTCCTATTATTCTCTCCTTCCCAATTGAGTTATGTCTAAATCTTGCTGGAAAGAGATTTTTACCTCTCCCCTTTCCACCAGCATGTATCTATTTCAATTGACTACAGTGAGATGCAATACACTAATTAATTCTGGTTGCTTTTCCAGTCAGATTTGAGCTCTTTGGACCCAGCTGCAGAACAATCTCGCAGAAGTCTCACAGCCAGAGAAAATGGGCCGAATGGTGATCTTGCAAAAGCCAAAACTAACACCAGATTTTTTGCTGCTGTTGTCAATTAACAGATAGGGGAAAAAAAGAAAGCTAAAGCTTACTGCAATTTTATAAGCAATGTTCCTCCAAAATAAACTGCAGCTGCTTTCCATTTAGACAAAGATACACAGCTGCATAAATGCACATCTATTCATCATTAGTTTGTACCTGTTTTGATCCAAAACCTGGCATGCAAATTGTCATCCTAGATTACCCTTCTCTCAAAATACAAACAAAACATCCAGAATGAGATTTGTCATCTTTTGTGCTTCATGTCACAGTAATTTAAATTTAAAAATCATTTTGAAACAGCTGAATTATTTACATCTGAAAATCAGCTAGCTAGCATCGTCAGTTGCTTCTTTCTGCTCCTTATTTTCTATGCATCACTGTTCTGTGGAAACCCAGCAATTGCATAGCAAATCTGTTTATGCAAAGTATTTCGTCCAATTTTCACAGCTCAGTGTCACTGCTGTATCAATCTGCTCTGGTCCAAAAGTTGGCAAACAAATTAGGGCTTGATTCAGAACCCAGTCTATTGACTTCATCAGGATCACCAGCCCACTTACACTTCAGTTGAAGGCTTTTAGGCAACACCACCAGTTGAAGCGGGACTAAGATATTCTCATACCACAAGCCCACTCAAAGAGTACACCTATACTAGTAACAGTTGGGATAATATGTGAAAATTTAAGTATTTTACAACAGATACCTACACCAAGAGTAAGGCAGACAGGTGCTACTAAAATGAGTACTCTAAGGGGTTTTGGAAGAATGTCTGTCTGTCCGTCCCACCCTTCTCAGGGTTGGTCTTTCTGTTTTTAAATCACTACAGCTGTTTGCTTGTTGAATATCAGGCAGACCCCTGAAGCCCTTGCATCACTTGTGC